AAAAAAAGGTAAGGACGACGAATAAAGGATCGGGATTATCGTTGTTGGTAGGACGGGATCGAGATCGAGATCGAGGTCGAACCCTGTGCTTAAAATGTCGGGATGGACATTGTACTCCTTGGCAAACACAAAAGGGACAATCCCTTGAGGGAGAGCAGCCTACAATACAAATTTAACGAAACAACATTAATTTCCTCTTATGTTTCAAATCTTGTATGATGGTTTTATTTTGCTTCACCTGAACTATGGCAATGTGCAGCAGAGCTCCTCTCAGTCCAACCGCAACGGAGGCGGCTGCCATCACGGCCGGACCGGTGATGAACCGAACCGCCATGGCGAACGAAGCGATGGTGTTTCCACAGGCAATGATCCTAGGCTGCAAGGCCATGAACAACCCTACACCAAAAGGAAAGAAACACTCGTCTTGATCAAAAACAGTTTCCTACTATTCTTTTCGAAATGGTTTTTGGAGGGAAGAGACGGTACCGAGACTGAACATGGCCATCCCAAGCCCGGCATCCGACAAAATGGCGATCGATCGGGCAACAATGGCCGGCATCACAATGTTCCACCTACAAAAAAAGACCATATTCGTTAGAACTCAAAACAATCCCAATTCTCAAAAGCAAATTTTTTGAACTTTTTTTGGTACCTAAATGAGATCAAAGACCAAGCGAGGCCAATCAAGCTAGAATAAGTATTGGGATTTCTAATGAGTTTCCTCCAAACCATAATCAAAATCAATCTTGTCATCACACTCGCCGGCGGCATGGTGGTTGGTTTAGAATCCGCCTGGTCCTCGGCGGTTTTCGGGTGCAGCTCGGCAGTAGAGCTCGATCCGAGCTTCGACAGCACCGGACCGCCGTCATGTCCTCCGCCATTCACGGCGGATCTGTTCCCAAAGCTGAACTCATCCCGACCAAACTCATCGAAGTCTAAAAATTTCAGCAAAAAACTTCATAAAGAAGACTCCTTTAGATAAAAAGGGCAAAATTGAAAGAAAAAGAGAGAAATTTTGTGTTTGGTGACCCACTTGAAAAAGGTACAAAAATCCAAGAAAAGAAAAAACACCCAGAAACAAACAGTCCCATTCCAATAAACCCAAAAAACCAAATCTTCCAAACGACAAAATTTTCCTAAAAAAAATCTCACCTTTCTGATTGACTCCGCCGGCGCCGGCGTCGTAATCCGCAGTCCGGAAAACGTTGATTCCGCCCTCGGAAACCGGCGAAGCACTGGAACTCCAAACAAACATATGCAAATCCTTACCCCCATCTCCGGCATTACCCC